CAACAATCAGAAGATTCCTGCATATCATCTTACTTTGAAGTTTAGCCTGGAAACCACCACATCTCCATTTGGGGTAATAATAGGAACATTTTCACAGATAATCCCATGATCAATATCTATTACTCTTCCTATAAGTAAAAAAGACAAAAAACAAAAAACCACAATATATGTTAATAGAGCATACAGACAAACAAGCACAGACAGAAAGTTATTGGTTTGCAAAAGGCTGATTTACAGACACGTTCATCACTGGGTGACTTTCACACGAAATGCCTCTCTGTGTTAGATGGGATTAGGCAAGAGACTGGTCTTTGTTTCTTAGTCTTCAGTTATGTCAAGAACTTGTACAATCATACACCAAGCATAATTACTACAAATTTGTTATATTTATGTTAACTTTTATTCAACACTTTAGGAATCAATTCTAGCTAAGGCTATGTAATACTCCAGGTTCAATTTTAAAAAGATGCTTCAGAATACACACAAGTCCAAACACAGCCCCTGTCTACAATTTCTTCAAGCAGCCACATCTTTTCCTGGGTTCATGTGAAACTGCAAAGGCCAGTTGTACAAGCCTGGGAAAAGACATGGCTTCTTGAAAGCATTATAGACAGGGATACATTCATGTTCCCACACACTCAAAAACATCTTTTCAGAATGATTTCCAAAACCCAACTAGCTCCACCCTAGATATCTCTAAATATACTTTCACTATCACTTTAAGCAATCGCTGTTGTTTCAGAAGGATTTTTTAAAAAATGTTACTGTACTGTAGTTATTTCCAATAACCTACCTAATGTTTCACGGTTCTATGCTCAGTGAGACCGGTTAGAGCACTGTTTCTCAACCTTGGGAACTTGAAGATGTTTGGACTTCAAGAATTCCCCAGCCAGTTAATTCCCCAGAAGTATTTTTCATTAACTTCTTTGACTCTGAAGAAGTCTTCCAATCTCATCTCACAACACCATAAGATGTTAAGAAAACTGAGAAATGTTTAATACAACCCTCCCAGAGTCTTTTGAGTTGGGTGGACTGTAAAAACTGTTAAATAAGCAACCAAAACACCTTAAAATCAAAATGTAATATTCCCAAAGTGGGTTTCAAACCCTAATGTTTGCTTTAACTTTAGAAAGAGTACAGTCCGAGGATGGCTGCACTTGTCCACTTTTGTTGACTTGGAAACTAAACTAAACCAGGTTTGGCCTGATCCTTCCATAGATGAGAGACTGGCAGGGAATCCTAGGACTGTAGTATAAAGGCAACGGCAAACCATATTGTTGCCCCAAAAGTTCATGTTACCACCAGGAGCTGAGCTTGACAAGAGCTTCTTAAATCAGCTGGAAAGCAAGAAAGAAAGTGTGCATCGTAGCCTTCCCTAGTAATCTCTAGATGAGCTAGATTATAGCTCCCCAAATTCCAGACAGCAGGTCCTTGTGACTAAAGATAATGGAAGTAGTAATCCTTCATGAAGAGAAGACAGTGAATGAGGATTGATTTGCCCATGTCCT